GGGCAGTCTGTTGGTGAGATGTCACTATGGTTTGTCTTCAGTTTTTGGATCTATTATATCAAAAAAGTACATTTTGTCGACATTAGACGGTGTGATGTTGGTATCCTTGGAGACATTAATAGATGATCTGTTTGTTATTTTTTGGGCTTCAAGATGTACCTCCCTTGTTGCTTGTTTCATCGAACCTCTGGCCATCATCAAGATGGACATAAGTTTCATTTCTTTCGTAACATGGCGATTCTAGGCTGGATGAGGTAATTATTGAACATCTTTTATTTCTTAGAAGCACCATTGATAATATAATATAATTTATATATCAGGGTTGTCAGAAAGTTTTGAAGTAGACGGCTGAGTTGCCAAAGTATTCATTCAGTCCAGGGATATTTTATTTAAAAAAATGCCATCTGTAAAGAAATGCCAAGCAGAGTAGCTGGTCGATTCTAACCAAGTAGGTGGCAATCTTCGCAGGCAGCCGGCTACTTTTGAGAATCCTGATATATGCTGTGAAACTTGCAATAAGTTGATATTGATTTAATAGGATATCTTGTTGAATAGAGTAGCCTGAGAAGACAGCCAAAATTTTGAGATGGAATCCCGGTTCCTCGTAAAAATTAGACATTGAGAAAACAAGGTAGAAATTCCATACTGATGATGCAACACTTACCCAGATCTGGGTAGTGAATTTAAGCGTTGAAAATTTTGTTCATCCAATCAACAGTACTACCTGGATCCGTAGTGACATGTTAACAGAATAAAAATTTTTGAGCTCATTTTCAGACATCATCTCGCAAGGAAACCAGTGGTGTTTGCAAAATTAATGTTATTGCTCCTCTCAGGCAGACCAGAGTTACAGGTAGAAGTGTCCAAAGGGTGATTGGGTGACAGGTGATGAAAACAGTTTCAAATGAAAACAATAGTCATTGATAGTATGTATAAAAAAGTTTTTGCACCCATTTCGTAGACATCATCTCAGCTGGAAATCCATCTGGTTTTCACCAGAAAATTGGTCAGATTTTTCATGATAAATATATTTGAATAATAAAAACACTTCCAAGTTGGCCTCTGACCAATACCCCTGGTCTTAATGACTTGAGACCTAAAAATGGACTTCAAAGTCAAAATCCAAAAAATTTGAGGGAGCCGGTCCCTTAACCCCACTTGAAGCTTGCAACTTGTGCTAGGCGGATTGAGCAGAGAGGGGTTAGGAAAACAGTTTCAACAAATCGATAGTCACTGCATGCTCAATGCACCCATAGTAATTTAAGAAATAACTAAGATAATATACGCTGGCCACACATTGGCAAAACCTATGGTTTATTGCAGCCGTAAACCCACAGAAAACTTAAAATTATTTTATAAAGCATAGATTATTTTTCTAAGGGTTTATCGGCGTGATGAAGACGCCGGGATGCTGGGAGAACACTGAATAGCTTGTAAATCCCGCCTTGCCTGCAATTTACATGCTTTTCTCGTGTTCTACCAACATCCCGCGTGGTGCTATCACACCGGTAAACCCATAGAAAGTGTAGTCTATTGCTTAATCAGTTTCTGTATATTGCTAGTGACCCTGTATCTTCTTTTCTTTAAATTTATCCTTAAGAGGACGAACGTTTGTGTTATATTTCTAGCAACCCGAAAGATAGTTGAATTTAAGCTTAATAAATAAAATTAATGAGGAAGAGAAAGAGAGAATTGTTGATTGTGACTTATGAGAAAGGGATTAAGATTAAACTCTTGAACAAACTCTAACAGGTCATGTTCAAATGACTAATTTTTTTTTTTTTCTACATGGGTGCTTGGCATAATAAACATTAATACAGTAGAACGACAGTAACTTGAACTCTGAAGGGAAACGAAAAAACAGTTCGAAAGTATGTGTATAAGCAGAGAAATTGAGTTGGGTATAAATTTCAGTGAAGTTTTCATTTAAAAGGGAAAGGAAATTCAGTTCAAGTCAGTGAGGAATTTGAGTTTCCAAGCATATTTTTATCTTATAATGATAACATTTTTGTTGTTTCCTTAAGATTTGCAACAATTGTTTGCTCTCTCATTACTCTCAAGTATGTTGCTGTTTCATTCTCTGAAACGTGAAATCTTTCAGCACCAATATTCACTGCAATTATTGCTTGGATAATGCTAGGTCAGTGAAAAAATAGTTATTTTAATTTTTAATTTTATTATTTTGTTAAATGAATTGAACATAATAAATTTTAATTAACCCAACTTTTATTGACTGTTGGCTTAAAAGGAGATTTTGCTATCATTGTTCGCTATAATAATATTTTTAAATCTGCTCTGGCCTGACTAGCTGAATTTGTCTCAGCCCAGTTAAAGTTCGCTGCAGATTCCAAAGAAAAAAAAATCAAGTTTCCTTTTGTAAAATATGAAGAAATAAATAGACCATGTGAAAGTATTGCTGAAGGGGGTTTCATTAATGAATGGTAACACCATAGGATTTCATCTGCAGACGAAAAGTTAGAACTATACATACTAAATAAACAGTACCATGTAAAAGTATTGCTGAAGGGGTTTCATTTGAATGGTAACAGTAAAGGATTTCATCCACAGACTCAAAAAGTTAGAACTACATACTAAATAAATAGTACCATGTGAAAGTACTGCTGAGGAGGATTCATTTGATTCAGAATCATTATAGGATTTTGTTCACAGACTTTTTTAAGTTAGATTGTCAATTAAATCACTTCACCATAACATGGTCTAGGGTTTAGGATTAATAGATATTAGGGACTTAAAGATCCAACAATGTGAAGGCAGCAAGAACTAAAAAAAAAACAACAGGTTTAATAAGCCGAAACAATAACTTTGCTCATGCATGACACTTTTTGTACATTTCTTTGCTGTTTTGCTTGGAATTCAACTTCAGGAGTGTTCACCACATTTGATAAAGTATAAGTGGATGTGTAAGGAATAATATTGCTTTCGAGGGTGATAGAACCCAAGTGATGTTAAAGTCCCTATAATTTATTGATAATGATACTTATTATGTACCAAACAATTTTGCTTTTGTTATTTTGCAGGAGATAAATCAACTTTATTAGTAAATCTTTCACTCGTTCCCATAATGGCTGGGCTCTCACTTTGTACAGCTACAGAACTAAGTTTCAACATGGTTGGATTTATTTCAGCTCTTTTAAATAATGTTATGGACTGGTGAGTGATGCCTAGTTTATTTCTGCCGTTACCTAGCTATTGAACTGAAAGGTCCTTAGAAGTGTCCCAAACATACAACTTGAATACTCACCTAAGAAAAGAGCCAACATTACTGGTGGTTTCCTCGCGAAATGACATCCAACAAATGAATGCAGAAATTTCAACTGCTGGTGTGTCACTACGCAGATCTGGGGAGTGCATCTTATTGCCTGAAGCCAATTTCCCACACAGAATGACCATTCAATCAGATAGTGACGATGTCATATAGGTGGGATTTCTTGCGTTCTGGTATCATTTTGTGGGGAAACCTGACATAGTGAAATGTCGGCTGTTTCCTCAACCTTGTCCCAGGGTGGCGGGTAGGAGAGAACCCTGGGAATGAGGTTGAGACTGATAGAACTCACTTTAAAAGATTTCCTTTTACTCTCTTCTGTGCTCTCTATAATATATAGTGAAGGTTAATAGAAAGTTATGAACAACAACAACAACAACATTTCGAAGAAGGTTGCTGGTTACAGTGTTGCCAGTTTTTGTGTTACATTATCAATGAGCAAGGAATTAAACTCTGGACTGCCGAGGGACAAATACATTTACATGTTGTTTTCAAAGTTAGACTTGAACACAGGATTGCGATTCCAGTGTACTGACTACTCGGCCACGCTGTCACTTCTCCCAGGCGATATAAGCCTATCAGAAATGTAGAATTGTTTTGATTCTAATTAATAATGATTATTAAATGATTATATTATTAGTTGTAGTAATAATAAAATTAGTATTATTGTTTGGTAGTTTTCAGAATGTATTTTCCAAGAAGCTTCTAAGTAGTGAGCATCCTTATAGGTAAGAACTCATTTGATAGTCTGCAAGCAGATGTTTGCTATATATTACCTTTAAGCTGCATGCATTCAGGTGCAACAAAGGAAATAGCTAGGAGATTTCTGCACACAGGCTTGCTCATAATGTTGATCATGATCAGCTTTTTCCTTCTAAAACAGCAAGCAGTCAAGTCTTAAAACTTGACAGCTTCAAAACATCTATATTTTTTCCATTGGTCATGAGTGAGGACATTGGTCAAAATGAAAAGGGTGAGGAGTAAAACAGAATAACGATTCCTTCATTTGTAGCCTCGCATGAATATGTGTTGATTTTTCCTGTAAAACAGCTTTCATAAGTTATCATGTGATGAGTGCAAAAACTCGTGTTTGAAGTGCTGCTGTTTGTTGTTTGACTGAACTGAGTTTTGAGAAAGTTCGGCGCTATCAAATCGTGAGTCATGATTGGCTTATGGTGACTTTAAAGAGAAGACATGACTTGATCACGGTACTAAAAGGAATTAAGGGCTTATTAGAGAGGTGGGTGTGACTTAATAGAGGATTTACAATTTAGCGGAATTATTTATACGCTTAACATAAGTTAATTCACAGTTTTCTTTTTCAGTCCCCCAGAACTTCAGTTCTATACAAGTGCTGCTGCAATTGCTGTTCAACTACCTTTCTGGTTCTTTATGGTTAGGTTTTGCTCAGTTATATAGTAACAGTAATATTTATGAAAGAAAGCAGTTTAGAAATCCTGCTAACCAAACACTTTTAAACAAGCTGGTTATGTAGCCAATCAAGATTTTAGTTCAAAGGCACAAAATTATTGGCCGTTATCACACTAGAGATGAATTATCCGTCTGAAACGGGTTATCCATTGGTTAATTCGCACCAGACAGATAACACAACTTTAATTATCTGAAAATGGAACGGTTTTAATTTTTGATGAACAATCTGCCTTACTTTATCCATCTGTTCATCCAGCAATTTTGCTGGATTTTGAAGATGGATATCTGTCTCTAGTGTGAAAGCAGCCATGTTATTGGCCTTGAAAAGGGTAGATTTCATTGTGAGTTTTAATTTAGATTTATCATTAGTATACCTGCCAACTTTTTCTGAGATATAAGCGTGAGATTTTTATCCTTGGAACGCTGGGATTTTGGAAGACGACACAATCATTTCCGAAGATTCCCGAAGAAGTCTGAAGTCTTTCGAAGATGTCTGAAGTCTGCCGAAGGCGAAGTTATTGAGAAAACGCTTGTCCACAAAATCAGAGATCGCGCAGAAGGTATTGTCATTTATTCATTTTACACATGGTTTTCACTCCTTACATGGGTCTGAGTTAACATATTTTTGGAAATTGTGTCAAGCAAGATGGCAACAACTCACATTTTTCAATCAGGTGTCAGAAATTGGCCCGCAAGCGTGAGCCGGCATGAGATCGAAGTGTTCAATCCATAGGCGTGAGACTCACGCCTAAGGCGTGAGAGTTGGCAGGTATACATTAGACTGCTTGCAGTCCAGCTAATTGCTCTCAGTTCTTATTTCACTCACTGTGATTGCAAACAATCATCGGACGTTACAATAAGAGATTTAATAGGATAAGTTGAAAAAAGACAGACTGTGGACTCTTTTGTAACAAACAAACCCACTGTCAGCCCAAAAATCGAGTAGCTGATTGGTCAATTTTAGAGCTGGTAACAGATCATTGACTGGTCTGTTACCCAGGTTAATTGGTTAATGAAATTATCTTGAAAGCTTTGGTGTCCCCAGACAGAGTGAAAGAGTCAACAGTCTCTTATTTTTTCTTCTTGGGATTATGCACTTGTTTGTTGCTCATGTGCATGTCTGAGGGCTTTGCATGGAGAATTTGCAAAGGAAAATAAGACACAACTTTAATAATAATTATTATTGCAGTCTAAGAAATCATTGTGTTGGTCGAAATTCAAATCAAAGGCAATAAAATTTAACATTGGACTTAGTTAGGTTAGATTGCATTGTTAGTTGTAAACATTTATCCTTTTTTGTTTAATTTTGTTCAAGGAGTGGCCCAGTGAAGTGAAGTTGACAGAGGACAGATTTTTGATATTTATTTTTTTATTAAATGGATTCATGTTCTACATGCAAAGCCTTACAGCCTTTGGACTCATGTCACTGATATCACCAGTTACATTCAGGTATGGATTTATAAATTACTTTCTGCCAGTTATCATAAATAGTTTACAAAGCAAGGCTATTTGTCATAATAATGACAGTATTCCCAACAGTCACCAGAAAATGGCTTTATTATACAGGCTGTCATTGTAATGACAACATCACAATGGTGGAAATCATGTAAGGTGGCCATGGCTATTAGTGTAGATGTTTAAGGTGTTATATAAACCCTTGAAATGGTGACCAACATCAATTTTCTCCTAACGATATCCATAGATTGTCAAGAGCAAAGTCTATGCGAATTAATAAAATGATCACAAAGAGAAAACTCTTTGATCTTTTATCAAGTTCTCCCAACTAATTCTTTAAGGAAATGTATAGAGATAAAAAAGTCTGGAGAATTTGTAAGTAGATATTAGGGCTTGAGGGGTTAATACTAGATAGTTTGGTCCCCTTATATACTCTGCTTTTCAAAAACTTGTGAACTCTGAAGTTTGAAAGCCGCCTTCATGAAATACATAGATTTCACTGGGAATTTGACTGTGATGATGTAGTTATCAGGCTTTTCCCTGCTATTTTTATAAAAGCTGTGGAAAATGTTACATGAAAATGAGCATCACTTAGGCCCTTCTTCTCGGACCCCAATTTATAATAATTGTTATAATAATCTTATCAGCACCTGAGTATTTGTAATTTTGAAGCCCAAGAAAGCAGCTGACATTTTGCAATATGCCACCAATGGGTCCCTCGCGAAATTGATGTCTGAGGAGTGTGCACAGAAATTTCATACTGATGAGGCTGCTTCTGATTGGGGGGGGGGGTACTTTAGGAATTTCTGGGTGGGGATGTGCCGCTGGGACCCTGGAACCCTTAACCTATACTAGAGTACACTCCCCAAATCCCCCCGATCCAGGAGTAGCTGTTTTCCAGAAACTACTGAGGTCACTAGCACAGTAGTCTAGCCGAAACAAAACCTTATACCGCAATCCCTAATTATCTAGATAAAATCTTCAACCAACTGATCATTTTCCTGAAAAATAATACCCTATTCTAGACCCAAACGCTCTGATTTATATACCCTATCCTAGAGTAAACTGCTTGAAAACCATACCCTTCACAGCGGCACATACCTATATAGCCCATACATGGCAGTACCCCCCCCTGGGCTTCTGATAGATTGAAAATTTGTTTCAACCACAGTGTCTGAAAAATACTACCCAGATCTGGGTAGTGATGATGATATGCGTGATCACTATGGAATTTCTCTGCTCATTCTTCACGCTCAGATGTCATTTCATGAGGAAACCAGCGCTAGTGATGCCACAAATTGTTGACTGTTTTCTCAAGATTAGTATTTTTGTTGTTTTAGTGTATCCAATACAGTGAAGAGGGCAGTTCTGATTTGGCTGTCAGTGCTGGTGTTTGGTAATGAAGTCAGTGTCCTTGGTGCTGTCGGTACCATCATGGTCACATGTGGTGTCTTCCTTTACCAAAAGGCAAAGAATCAGCAGAAACTCTTCAAAGAAAAGGCAAAAGCAGATAAGGAACATGATATTGTGTGA